TATATGTGTATATATATGTATATATATATATATATTTATGTATGTATATGTATATGTATATTGTGCAGTTTTTTGGTCTACCTATAATGTTGCCACTCTGAGATCTTTACGGGTCTGTTACAATAATGCTTTTGGTATTTTACTCTGGTTGCCTCCGTGTTGCAGTGCTAGTGGTATGTTTGTCAGTCGTGGTATTCCATCATTTTTTTACTATCTTAGAAAGGCTGTGTATGGTTTTCGAGAACTATAAATGAGTATTTGTTTGACAGCTCCAAGCTGAATTGTAGGTGGCGTAAACTGCTATACCTATAACTTGTTTTTATTTTTTTGTCATTGGTTTGTTTTTTATTTTATTTTTCTGGGTTTAAGATGTACTGTTATTAAGTTTAAGTTAGGATATGGACTACGGTCTGAAATAAAAGTGAAATGAAATGAATAATAGCCTATATATATATATATTATATATATATATATATATATATATATATCAAATAAAGGTAGAAACAGTGCAAAACGGCCGCTTGATTTCTTTATTTTGTTGCTATTTTGATCAATATATTTATCTTTTAGATCGTAATATTTCGAAGACAGTTAGGAGCTCTGCTCTTGCCGATGTAGAAATTCCGCCAGATTACGACGAGGCAGTGGCCTACGAACAGGATCAATGTTTTTCGGCACCTTCCCTGAATTCGAATAAGAATCAACCAAAATCGGAAATAATCAACGAGAATTCGACGTGCATACAATTATCTGATCAAGAAATCAATAGTCAGGCGGCTACATCTAAGGATTGTAAAGTAAAACCATCGATGTCATTTGCGTCTAGACTTCTTGAAAGAGCACTCGGCACTCGGCAAAATAATACAGAACCGCAGAGACGGCGCAGTCCACGCAGATCGAACAGCACACCGTCAGCGAAACATGACTTTAGGCCTAGTCCACCGAAGAAAGAAGTTGAGACTAAACGGGTTCGTGGACCAACGAGAGCTATCAGCGTACCTGGAAAAGTTGTTCAAGTCAATATGGAATAATGAGAATTAAAGCTTTTAAAGAGTCGATTCATACCATAGACCGAAGTGCTTTGGGCCTGAATTCATCCTAAAGCTCCATACACAGTTGGAATTTTAGGAGGTCTAGTCATTACCAAATATTTAAAAAAATAATTTTCATATTTGAATTACCTAATTAGTTTAAATATATTATTAACTTACAGCTAAAGCTTTTTAAAAGCAACAAATGTCCGTATTAGTTAAATAATACCATTACCTTTCACGTATTAATTTTCCATTAATTGGTAATCAGTTAAAGGAATTTTGTATTCAAATGTCTGTAAATCAATGAAAAAACCGATCTCCTTCTGGTTTGAAGTCATAATCTTATTTGACCCCCTTAACCCAGCTATTCAGAATTATCTTTTTTTTCTGATACTTTATTTGGCAGAGAGTACTGTACATACATGGAAGAATAAGTTTTAATTTTTTCCCCCAAGCTTACACCTATTCCTCCATGTTTAGATGTATCGTGAATGGTTGGAATGAGACGTGTTGTCTTACCGTGCTGCTAAGCCCCGTCCTTATATCAGAAGATTGTTGTTAAGGTACCATGCGGGTGCGTTCGGGCGAGTTTTTTGTGGAGTCTAAAGCCGGGCATTCACTGCGTCGTACGACCGTCGCACGACGAATCTAACTCCGCTCCCTGTGAGCGATAGATGACGCAAACGCCGTCTTATGATTGTCGGTAGCAGTCTGAACGGATCGTCATTAAAAACGATCTGTGCACGCGCGTCGTCGCGTTGCGTTCTTCGTAGAATCGCGTCTGCCGACGACCGTTGTAGCAGTGAGTGCCCGGCTACACGGGATAAATATGGAAACGGCCTTTTCTATAGTCGAATGGGTGTTAAACGCAGATCGCCTGCTGATATCCGCTGATAATCCAACGTTGCGAATTGCAGTGTTTTGGAGGAGCAAAAGCAATATAAGTTGGCAGCAGGGAGAGTTTTCTAACACGTAATCCCTACAGTAGTTTGTAGAAGCATTAGACCCATTGAGGTTTCCTCCATGGTAGAACATTCGTGTATTCCTCCCCACCCGAAAGGATTCTTCAGGCCTAAGGTTTGACGTATCTAAGCCTATCCATACTTAGTTTAAGGAGTAGGATTAGTTAAGTATCATTCTATTTGTATTATTTATGTTAAGCGCATAGAGGTCTCTATGATAGGCCTATGCGCTCTATAAGTCGACCATTATTATTATTAATTTACCCACGTTACGATGAAAATGTAGAAGACTTTAACTTCACTCTCATCATATCAAGTATATATACCGTAATTAGTGCAATATTATATCTAAATGAACATATAAGTATTATTGAACGAATCTAGTACTAGGTTAACTGGCCATTGTGTATGTTATTGTAAAGGTTATTGTATTGGCAAAGCTGATTTCTAATTTATCTAAAAATATAAGTTGTTTTGTATTGTTATTTTTATACATGAAGAAAATAAATTTTATAAAAAGCCTCAGATGACTTGAATTTGTATTGTTTTGGTAATGAATATGACAGTATTCAAAATACTAAAGCTCAAATGCAACATAAGTCCATAGTCAGTGACTTAACAAAGAAGTATGAGGCCTGGTAATGGTTCTTCGAGGCAAAAATGCTCATAGGCCTATCTCGGGTCCTTTAAGGCCTGGGCCCCTGGTTTTAGCCAATGAGAGCTCACTATAGTTGTTACGTCACTGCCTATAGTTTTTGAGTAAAAAAGAGATCTATGTTTCATGCATTCAAAGTATTTCTGCATATACCTTTAGTTCCCTGTCTCCATTATATTTTTTAAGATGAATCTACATTATTTATGCGTAAAATGAGTCTATGTTTTACGCGTAAGTTGGTGTACTTTTGTACATGATTTCAAATTATTGAGTTTTACGTATGAAATATTTCTAAAGATGATTGGTTTATTTAAAAAAAGTTTCCACAGTCTTTAGAGTATATGCATACAATTACTCATCATCTCTGTATTCAGGATTGAAGTGGGACAGTCCTGACTGCGTCAGTAGTGGCCATGGCATTGGGATGATCATGGAGGTATTCATGGTATGATAGTATAATTCATTCAAACTCCAAGTACCGAAATACACCCCATCGTGTCGTGATTCAATATTTCGAACATTATTTTTTGTTATATCAATGATAATGACATAATTGATGTCGAAATATTGAATCCCGACACGATGGTGTGCATTTCGATACTTGGAGTAAATATATTATACTATCTTATAGATTAATCAGTGGACCTTTCGACATTGGGTATTGCATTGTACAGTAATTGGTTTTTTTATTTTTATTTTTTATTTTTTTTATTTTGTTGTTGTTAACACTCCCCCATAGAAATGTTTTTTCTAAAATTAGACCCAACATATCCTTTTGTATTGCCAACCATTTTACCACTGTATTTTCATTAAAATTAGGTGTATCCAACCATATAATATACATAGGATTCGTGACAAAAACGTTTATTCACTTGTGAAAGCGTTCCGAGGAAATGTAGTACCTGTAATTACATTCCAAATAGAGGTCTGTGATTAACAATGCACGGTGGCGTTCTGGTGGTATATTAACACATAGGCCTACAGGGAATTAACTTTTGCCAGCAGTGATCTATAAACTGTAAGTACATATTAAAATACTCCTCTTTTAAAGTAGGTAAATTCAAGAAAATAATTATACGTGTGTACAAACATTTGGTGTATAACACATACAATAACTACAATTAATTGTCCGTAATGTATTAAAAAAATAAAAATATTAATAAACTTACATGTAGTTAATAACCCTGAATTGTCTTGTACGCAAGTACTCAAAACCACAAGCACTCAAATTTGGCATATTATGATATTGAAAAGTCATTTTAATTGAAATAATTGTACCTTAAAGTATAAATAGTTTCTAAATCAAGTTCATCCTTTCTAACTCTCATGTTCTCTATGGGTTAGAATGTTCTCTTTTATTGTTTTTAAACCCGGTTAATCATCCCTCTGCATCAATAAGTTTAGGGAAAATAATATTTTACCATTGTAATCTCATATAGGCGTAAGAAGTGTATGTGTCCGACCACTAGGCCTATACCGTACAGGATACGTATCAAGCCTCTATTTGCGGTGTGCATGCACGCGTGGAGAGTTCCGAGTAGCCTAACATACTGTAATAACAATTAAACGTAAATAAAGTGTAAAAGGCTTATGATTAGAATAGATGTAAGGTAGGCGATCTGGTCGTACCATGCACATACACGGAAATAACTGTTAATTATTATATGTGAACAATTAACTAATGTAAGAGCATTTAAGATTATTACTCATTTTAACGAAAGTGAAATAAAGAAAAGCAGGTGTGAATTTGTATATTCTATTCCTAAACTGGTTATGTAATCAAGATGTTAAACGGAGCCCACAATGTAATTAAAAGTAATGTCATTTATATTTTTTAAAGCCTGGAACGTACCCAATCACTAGAGCATGGTAGGTAGGCCTATGTATAGGCCTATGTGATAAATATCACAAATATTGCAAATGGATGAAGAATAAGACAGTATCATATATAATATAAAGATAATAATAAACGACAATATCCATACTACTGTTGTTTTAGTTGATGTTGCCCTGTAATTTTATAACTATAGAAGATCATTGAACTCATATGAAAATGAATGTTGAACTAGTAGGTCCCTGTAACATTTATGTTTACTTGTACCATATTCATTTCCAAACTGTTAACTGTGTTACTTCCTTGTTTTGGCGGATGTACCGGTACTAGTTGAAACACTGCGGCTAGTGTTTGTTTATTTTGTTATGATTTAAGATTACTAGGAAAAGGTAAGTCTAATAACATTATTATTTATATTTGTTAACTGGCTAAACAGACTTGATGAATGAGTGTGGTTCGCAGATAATACGGTTATCATAATGACGATGATTATGACAATGCGTAATAAATCCAATAAAAAATGTTTTCTTTTCACGGTCTAGAAGCT